CGAGAGAGAGAGAGAGAGGGGTCGTGCAGCTGTCAGCCGATATCCAAAACTCTCATACAGCGAGGAAGTCCTTTGCACCAGTTGGTTCACCATCCCAGCCTTGTTAGATTTCCCCATCACCACCACCTTCATCTCCTCCTCGATATCTCTTTAGCGTTCCTTTCTATGACTCTAAGGGTCATGGAAGGAGGAGAGATCGCCAAAGAAGAGGAAGGGAGGAGTACACAAAAAGGAGACGGAAGATTGCGTCCGTATGCAAGCAAGATAGATAAGAACATATAGTCAACCTTCCATATTTCGTATGAGACTCAGCCTCCTGCTCGCCATATCGAGGCTGTCACCTCTTCCTTGATTTCCCCGTGCACAGAGAACACGAGATAAAGGGAAGAGGAGGCGGTCTTACAGCCGCGCGTATGGCTTCCTCTTCTTCTCCTTCGACTTCCAGCCTGCACTATCGGTCAAGGTTTGGCGACACAACCTTGACCAAAGTGTTTGTGGGTGGATTGGCATGGGAGACTCCCACGGCGGAGCTCCGCCGTTTCTTCGAGCAGTTTGGTGAAATCCTCGAGGCCGTGATCATATCCGACAAGATCACCGGGCGATCCAAAGGCTATGGCTTCGTGAGCTCTCTCTCTCTCTCTCTCTCTCTCTCTCTCTCTCTACTGTGAGCTTTGTTTCTTTGTTTGCTTGTCAGTTTGTCCATCTCTTATTGATCCCTTGATCCATCAACAGTAATATAGTACTGATATTTTCCTGTTATTTATCGCATTCTGTGTACCCTATCTCATCATGATCCATTACTACCTTATTTATTGATATCTTGCATCATGCTATCCAACGTAGAGGTGGAGAAGGACAGTGTGTTCTTGGTATCGTTTTGCTTCATGCGTTTCCACTCTAACATCCGAGGCTACAATATCCTGGGATTGGCAGGTGACCTTCCGCGACCCCGAGTCGGCGAGGAGGTCGGTGGTGGATCCCAACCCGGTGATCGACGGCAGGCGAGCCAACTGCAACATTGCCTCTTTGGGGAGGCAGCGACCCTCTCCACCACGAGGTGTGTATGATATAATGCGTTGTGCATTTCCCACAACACTTGGACAGCAGAAAGAAGATGGATATACTTGTAGATGGCTTAATCTCTTACTTTATGCTCTTCATCTTCTTCTTCATCTCCGAGAAAGGTAATGGCCGGTGCAGAGACCTCCATCAGATAAAAATACTAACATGCCAGCTCAAAGGGACAGCTTGCTGATCCAAAGCAGGCATAGGTCCTGATGATGCTTGGGCAAAATGGGAGGCGCTTGAATCGTTTGTCATCGATTAATCATGATTAAGCTGCAAATTTGACTTAAATGTGGTTAAATCTGCAACCTTCTCTTACATTAATGGCTGGCTGCTTCTAATCACCTCGTCTGCAGGGAGGAGCCCAGAAGGGAGCATGTACCGGCAATACAGCAGAGTGCCAGCCCAGGTGGCCCCCGCTCCTCGAGCCCCAGTTGTTTACCCTTCTCCCTTCGGGTGAGTCCCACCATCTGCAGCACCAATCCAAGGCAGGTGGACCGCCTGGAGAGCCCATTGAATGGATTGGTGGCAGCCCCTCCTCTGCACAGTCTGAGGTGGTGGTGGTGGCTTGTCTCAGCCGCAGTTAATGCCTGTCATCCATCCACTGGGACCCATGTTTGGCACACATTGATGCTGGCCCACATACAAACCCAAAACCGCAGCCTAATTCACACAAAACACATCAAGTTCTCATGCAATGTGGTCTGTTCATATGGTCTTCAGCATGTTAAGCTCAGTCTAATGGTTATTGCTGTGTCCGTGCAGGTATGTGGCCTATCCAGCTGAGTATGGATACCAACAAGTTAGTGCTTCTTCCTTTCTTCTGTGTTTCTGTTTCTGCTAAAACTGGAGAGCTGCATTTTGATGCAGATCTGGCTATGATATCAAAAGAACTTGTATCAGTGCATGGAAAATCCAAGAGTTCAGAGTCTCAACTTAACTTTGTTAAACTGCTAAAGATTCTACCCAAATTTACCAGAAACAGAGCACAATGCCAACTTGTTTGGATATAATCTAGCTGTTATCATACAAGTTCAATATAAACCATGTTTCCCCAGCATGTCTTCTTGAGCAATATAAAGCTTGTGTATGTTTATTTTGTATTCATCTGAAAGTAAAATCAACCATAAACAGTCTAACAACTGCAGAATATTGATATCCATGTCTGTTCTTTCATACAGTCAGTCATAATTGGTTGAATAATAGCATAAAATATATTGATAGAAGCTATCTTTTTTTGTTCCCATTTTTTTATGGACTGTGCAAACAGACTGCTGTGTACAACCCTCAAATGGCATCCTATTATCATCAACAATTGTATGGACCAACTTCACCACCAACTGTTGGACATCCACCCTACCATTGCCCTCCAATAGGGTACTTGCAAACTGCTAGGGCAGGTTTTCCTTCACACTACATGCAGTATCCTGCGCCCCACATGGAAGGGACCTTCATCCCCTCATCTTCACAGCAGTATCCATTTCAACTGCAGCCCCCACCACATGCAAGGCAACCCCTGAACACTACAGAAGGTAACACACTTTGTCTTCTATATCTCTGCATTGTGACCTTTTTTTGTAAGAATAAAGTTACTTTTTTTCAAAGAGATTTTGATACCTTAAACACTTGGCATACTTGATTGACATGATTGTAGCAACAAGTTGCAGTGTTTTCACTAGTTGAGAAGTTACTCATCTGGCTTCATATGTTCTTTTCTTATTTATTCTTTTGAAAGATCTTATGTTGCTTTTCACAATGTGAAAAATTAGCTTGAGTTAAAAGATCTTAGTTGATTGACATGATTGTAGCAACAACAAACTGCAGAATTTTCACTAATTGAGAAACAACTCATCTGGCTTCATGTGTTCTTTCCTTCTTTGTTCTTTTGAAAGATCTTATGCTCCTTTTCACAATGTGAACAATCAGCTTGAGAATTTGAAACATCTTAATTGTTTGACATGCCTGTAGCAACAAACTGCAGAATTTTCACTAGTTGAGAGGCTACCCATCTGGCTTCATATGTTCTTTTCTTATTTATTCTTTTGAAAGATCTTATGTTTCTTATTATTTATGTGTGTGCTTCCAGAAAGAAGGAACAAAAAAGAAAATACTTACCTATGTGATCATTCTTGTATATGTATCAAAAAATCTTAAGACAGTAATATAAAATCCATCTATGTTACATTTTCTTACAACTTTAGCACCAATACCTGCAGAAACATATGAAGTTATCCTGTAATCTTGTTAAAAACTCACATCAGATCAGATTCATAAGCTAACAATTAAAAAAGTTATGACATAGTTATTGACATGTTTTAAGTAGTATCAACCACAAAACTTCATGCAGAAACAAGAGTACTTTTTGCAATAATTCAGCTGGTTATTTGTATATATGCTCTACACCACTTCACATAGTTTCATCAACAACATCCCCTGGTTTTCATCTACAGTAAGCATGCTTCTCCATTATTGCTAGCATTCCTGGTCATATTTATAACTTTTGATATCGATTAATTTACTGTGACATTTCCAACCTAAAAGCACTGTGTCATTTTCTAAATCAATTGGATTACTAACATTTTTCCTATCTCATGTATTCTAACAGGCTCACAAGCTCCTCAGCAACTCTCCACACCTGGAGCAGACTCTGATGATAACCAGGATGCTTGAAGGTGGCAATTCTCATCCTTCAGCATAACTTCTGCTCATCAACTGATCACGACGAACAATAAAACAAATGGACTGAATAAGTTGTGTCAAAGGTTTAAATCCCAAGTCTTTTTCTTTTTTTTTTGGCATCAAAAAAGACATTTCCAGGGTAGCTACATTCAGTGGTGAAACTACTTCTTGTGCCCTGTGATGAACACTAATCGACTCCAAACTCTTTCTTTATTTTTTTCACTCTAATTATTATTTTTGTAGAGCAATCATTCATTGCATCTCTAAATTTCTTGTGTACATGATCTTCCCACCAATGAGTCAGAATTTTGATGATGCATGCTGGACATATTGACTTGCCATTTCAAAGTTTCTTCTAAAAATACTTGAATATTTCTTTCTAAGCAGATGGAAATTTAGTGATGGAATTATATTATGCTGTCTTTGTCATCTGCATTGTAGCATTTAGATTCCAATGATAACTTGTGACACTAAACCATGTCAAATATACCAGCTTAGTTTAAACATGTACAGAATTCTCATGACCTCTACAAAGGAAGCATACAAGAAGATTACTGCAATGTTCATCCAATTGTGTTAAGGATTCAAGTCCTTCACCAATCTCTCCAGGTTTCCATGTGAGCTCCCACCTTGTGCTGTTGCTCGAGCTGCCATCTCTTTCCATTTGGTGGCGTTCTTCCTCATCTCCTTCCCCTTCTCTCCTTCCATCAGCTCCACAACGACGTCCTTGACCTGCTCTCTCTTCACGACTTGGTCGATCTCCATGCCGAATCCCCACTGCTCGCAAGCATACAGGCAATTCGTGTACTGCTCCGCGAATCCTGGCCAGCAGATCACCGGCACGCCGCAGGCGACGCTCTCCATCATGGAGTTCCAGCCGCTGTGCGTCAGAAAGCCAGCGATGGAAGGATGGGCGAGCACTTCTCCTTGTCGACACCAGCCGGCGAAGAAGCTCCTCCCTTTTGTTTCTTCGATGAACTCTTCCGGCAACGTGGCGGCCCCGCCTTCGACCATGTCGGGTCGAATGACCCACAGGAAGGGATGGTTGCTGTCGGCGAGGCCCCATGCAAACTCCGACAGCTGCGTGACCGTCAAGACCGCGAGGCTTCCGAAACTCACGTAGATCACCGATGCATCCTGTTGAGCGTCGAGCCAGTCCATGCACCTGCGATCCTCTCGCCAAAAGCCCAAGCGCGGTGAGGTGCTTCGGCTTCCTCCCGCAACCCGTTCGACGAGTGAGCCGACGGCACCGAGCGTGTAAATCCGCGGGAAGAACCCCTGCAGAGCATCCAAAACCTCGCTTTCCATGTCTTCGAATGTGTTGAGGATCAAACCCCATGCTTTCAGCGCGTAATCCACTTCCTCCATCTCCGTCTTGAGGAAGATGTCGTCGTGATCCGTCGTTCTGATGAAGCTGGAGAGGTCTCTGAGCCGCATCTCTTTCATTCCAGGAATCCAATCAATGGCAGTGTCCAAATATCCATTTGTCAGGCAACTCTCATCTACACAAACACAGAGAAAAGAATCAATTGTTCGTCGTATATGCTTGTCGGAACGGTGAGGAAGACGAGTACCTTTGAATGGTATGTATCCTCTTCTGACGAGCTCCCCGAGCTGAAGGGACGCCATGAGGCCACAAGCACTGGTGGTCCAGAAGACCAACTCGGGAACGCCGATCTGCTCCGCCACCGCTCGTGTGAAGGTCATCAAGTAGTTGGCTACGATGCAGGTAATGCGGGGCACGTCGGAGGAGGCGTTGAGCTCCAGCAGAAGCTCCGCAAGCGCGGCAGGACAGTTCCTCTGTATCGAGAGCCACAGCTCGACCAGCCGATCCGGGCCTAGGTGATCCGCCTGCGACACGCCGTCCGCAATGGTCACGAACCGGAAGGTCTCGCTGCCGCTGAGCGCGCCTGGCCCGCCGGTGCGCAGGAGTTGCCGGCGGCTGAACTCGGTGTTGACGAAGGTGATGTAGAAGCCTCTGGACTGTAGCAGCTCCGCCAGCTGCAGCATGGGGTTCAGCTGCCCTGCGGTGGGGTACGGGATGAGCACCGCATGGGGGCGCATCTTCTGCTTCACCGAAACAATTGCCTCGTCTTCTCTCTCTGCGGCATCATTCAACATGGTGAACGCAACTGGTGGTGCCTTTCCCTTCTCCAATCTGTGAAGATAAGTGTCGACGGTAGGCAGAGGGGAGCCACATCACTGTCATGGCAATCTTTTGCTAAGATATTGTCCACCATTGGAGCAGAATTGTCAATGATGTATCAGGACAGCCAGCACAAAAGCTCGGGCGTCAACAGATATCATCATCCTTGTTGCTTCTTAGAGCGGAAGCCGCCGCCCATGTCTTCTGACCACAAACCAAAGCAATAAAACCAAGCGATCTGTGGCCACACAAAACCATGGTGGCCTTCCTTACATCAGCCTCTGCAATTGTATAATGCAGAGAAGAAGACAAAGATCGGGCAAGGATCAACATTGCGGAGGATATGATCAAGGATTTGAGCTCCTTTGATTATTGATTCCTGATGCTGATGTAGATGAAGACCCCAACCCAACTCAAATAAGGTATCTGCTACATTGCAACACCTCGAGCTTGATGGTTTTCTTTGATACAGAGAGCAGCTGCAGCAGCAGTCAAATGCACAGTTGCAGAGAGTACACAACATGAACTAGGAGAAAGCAACACATGCAATCCAACCATGTCAGTGTGTCTTCAAGATTCTTCTTGTCCCCATCCAATGGCACATTACAGTTGTCACTCTTGAAAACCTAAAACCCCATGATAAAAGCAGGAAGGATTTATATATATTATTGGGTGATGATAGGAACATACGAAGATGAAAGTCCATATAATTGCACAGTGGAGGCTGCATTTGCTGAAGAAAACCACATCAGAGTTCACTATCACGGAGTACCCACGAGGGTGTGTCTCAATCTCATCTTCTGAATGAGATCACATCACACAATCATTAAGATGATGTATTAGGTTTTGTCCACAACGACGATAGCAGTAGTTGTGTCTTTGGTGGAGCTTTGCACCTCACGGAACATGGGAAGAACACATGCAGACCGTAATCGAACGCCATTGGAGGCCATGGCAGGAAGAGCACATGAAGGAACACATGCACTCGCAGGAAATCAAGTGCTTTGTAGGTGTGGGAGTGGATCAGAGCGACATCATGCTTCTATCTCGATAAAAACTTGTAATTCTGATCACCGTATCCTTAGAGAAAGATCTGGCAATTACAATATTATTAGTAAAAGTGTCCATATTTTGGACTCTTATCATTCCTACTCCGTTTGTTCGAAGTAAATTATTGGAAGAACTGCCACCTTTGACTGAATCCGACATGCGATGCGGGTGCCCCAATTCACTGGCAGGACGAACCACGTGGCTTGTCGGACGGGCGCAAGATCCTGTCTGCACACGTACACGATTTCTGGTCGCTGAGAGCTCCGATAATGGCGTGCCCTTGGATTTAGGCGTTGACTAACACGCCAAGGTCAAGGGGGAGGCTTCCACTAACGCCACCCCTCACCGCCGCTGCTCCACCACCGCCCCAGACCACTCTCATGCGTCAATTTTGAACCACCAAAGTCAAAAAACAACACTTGTAGGGCTTAGAGCCTTCATCTTTGCTTCTTCCTCTGAGTTGATGACAGCGGAATAGATTGCTCATGCTCATCTTTTGTACCCATACGTACCACTCTAAGTGTCTCCAATTTGGACAGTCTCAGCCTCTGACTGAGCTCATCTGTAGTCCTCACACCATAGAAGAGAGAAGCAGCATACATGGCCAACTTTCCGTCTCTGTTCTCCCACCTGCTGCTGCTGCTGCTGCTAATGTTGCAGCATTCCGCTGCTGTTCTATTGCAGCAGCAGCCCCTTGTTCTGGAGTACCACAGAGGCCGCCTCCTCGAGGGCAATCACACCGTCAACCTCCTCTTCTATGGCCGCTTCTCCCCGTCTCAGCGATCCATCGTTGCCGACTTCGTCCCCTCTCTCTCCCCCGCTTACCCCTCCCTCCCACCGCCCTCCGCGGCCTCCTGGTGGCACACGACCTCCCTCTACGGCGGCGGTGGCCCCGTCCGTCTCTATCTCGGCCCGCAGATCCTCGACGAGGGCTACACCCGGGGGAAGAGTTCAAATAACCCACATCAGATGGAGAAAAGTCGTCAGGCTCCGTCACAGTACAGGAAGACCTTTCTCCACCATCGCCATCGAAAGCCTTATAGACCATAACACACTCAGAGCACAGGAACCCTTCCATCATTGCCGTTAGTTGTGCATACTCGTCTCCAAAGAAATCACAGAAAGCTGTAGATCTTAATCTATATAAAGAAGTCTGTAAAGAAATTTGTGTTTGAGCAGAAATAAATAACATAATATTAAGTTCAATTCACTTTGTTATATGGGATTAATCTTTATCCATCCTTCTCAAAAATTACTTGACGATGTCACCTTGTTCTTCCTTTTAGATGAAGAGACGTTGAATTATTGTTCTTCTTGCCCAAAAGATGACATGTGATCTCCACCTACTGGTCTTTGTGCGTGGGATGTGATTCCGATTCGTTCATTGAGACATGTGCTTTTGTCGACGTGGACGGCGTGTGATCAGGGACCTGGTGCACGACTTTTGACGCAGTCGCTTCAGCCAATACGAGTGACACGACTTGGACCACAATTGGATTCTGCTTAGGGGCGCCACCGACGCAACATAAATCGAGTCTAAACGTTATCGGATCCTACCCGTACGCTTATCCATCCGAAACGGGAGAGCACGTAGCTTACCGGATCGTCCGCTTCCGAAGGCAAACTGTCGGAACTCCCAACGGGTCAGGGAATCCGCAGACCGAAGCACACTAGACTTCTCCCTGCACCTCGAGATCCGCGTCTCCCCGCACCCGTGCGCCCGGATCCGCTACAGGACGACCCATCTCCGCCGCCCGATGACATAGTTCAACGATTAGTCACCGTCGGTCCTTGGAATTAGAGCCCGGAGCCCAGCACATACCGACAACCCGGTCGACCCTCGTTGACCTATAGATCCTCTCCAAATATTGTATGTTTATAGAACTCCAACCTGACTAACGTTGGGTGTATCACGTTTGATGAGCGGTTGAGATGAGGGAATAGAGGATTCGTTTTAAAAGTCATTCTGGAGGGGATCCCCATCCTTCTCTCTTGTCGTGCCCCCGCGTGTTGCTTTTTCTTGAAGGCAACAAGGGCGGTTCCACCCACGGCGATAGGCTCACCCCTTCCCTCGCTACTCCAAACACCGCATCACTTCCCCCATCTCATCCTCCTCCATGTCGCTCCTAAGGTTTCACCTTGCCCCTCTCGCCATGGTTTGTTAACTTCCTCTCTTGGCTTCTCCCAGTTCTCGCGATCCGCTTCCTTGGCACGATTCCGCTTGCGTCCACGGATCGCCGGGTCCGATGGGGCGGAAGAAGAAGAAGAACAGATTCCTCGACCTGCGCCCGCTAATTTTTCATCTCGTCTCTAGTTTTCTGCCCTCGTAGGGCCTAAGCAAGAGTAGGTTTTGGTGGAATTAGCTCGCGGACAGCGTAGCTGTTGGTGGCAATCGGTTGGATCGGTGCGGAGAGCGATGGAATCGCTCCGTAGGAAGAGGAAAGGTACTAAGTCATCGTCTTTCGTCGAATCGAACTTGTCCGATGACCGGAAGTGCAAGAAGAAGTGCCGGGAGATGGAAAAGGTTGGATCTCGCAATGGCGGCGGTGGGGGAGTCGTGATGACCGCCCCGCCGATCGGGTGTTCGTTGCCGGGTACACCTGCGCGGGGTTTGAAGAGAAAGCTGGGATGCATCGACTCTGCCACTCGGATAGGGCGGAAGAAGAAACTGGAACATGAGTACGTTCTCGGACGGGAGATCGGACAGGGGAAGTTCGGGTCGGTGAGGCTGTGCCGGAGCAAGGCCAGCGGCGAGGAGTTCGCCTGCAAGACGTTACCCAAGAACGGAGGGGAGACTGTGCACCGCGAAGTGGAGATCATGCAGCACCTGTCGGGCCACCCGGGTATCGTGATGCTGAAATCGGTGTTTGAGGACTCCGACTGTTTCCATTTGGTGATGGAGCTGTGCTCCGGTGGGCGGGTTTTGGATCAGATGATTAAGGAAGGGAAGTTCTCGGAGCAGAGAGTGGCGATGATGCTGAAAGAATTGGTTTTGGTTATCAAGTATTGCCATGAGATGGGAGTCGTCCACCGGGATATAAAGCCCGAGAACATCCTGCTCACGGGGTCAGGGAAGACAAAGCTTGCTGACTTTGGATTGGCTGTGCGGGTTACTGATGGTAAAACTGATGTTTTCTTCCCCTTACAGTTGTATCTTACTATCGTCTTCTTTCATACTTGTTTCTGTGCTGATGACTGCTTTCTTTTTTGTGTGTTTTTCTACATGTCTAGTTACAATGCATCATGCGAAAATTGTTTATCATCTATCTTCTTGATATGTGCTTCTAGATTCACATGATATTTGAGGTGTGCATTTTGGTCATGAATAGATCCAAAGAGAATTTGTTGCATCTCAATGTGTCAATTGTAGATATTTTCTACCTATGATCATATTGTAATACTATCATGCCTAATATTATTATTGGCGTCCAAAATAGATACTTGGATCCACAAACAAATCTTTTAGCTCCCTCCCTTGTCTGATTTTGTGTTGTCGGTATGAACTTTAAAGGATAATGTCATATTGACAACTAAGTTGTAAAATAATGTCAAAATTTTATCAAAAGAGTGTAAAATAATGGCTTGCAGTGTGGATGACAAATTGAACACCAAAATCGGACTATACGAGCCTTTAGTTTGTTATCCTTAGTTTCTACTTTCTGTTTTAGATTCTCTCATGGTTTTTAGACACAAAAGGACCGCCTTTTTAGGTTGCTCTTCACTATGTTCCCTGATATGTTTGTGTTTGTCTACTCTCATAAATAAGATGCTTTTAGTATGATTCTTTTAAAATTATTAAATTATCCAAATAGAAAATGAAGGATTAGCTAACATCATTTACTTCATGATGATCTCTTCTCCCTTGCTTTCTCGTTTATACTAAGATCTTCTTTTTTCATCTTTTTACCCTCCATATTCCTGCTTGTTATGCTGACACATTAATATGTATTGTTGTTGATTCATCAAGTTTTTCTGTCAACTAAGCACCCTCTGGATTCTTGCTTTCTACTCTGGGCATTGCAGAATTCTTGAATTCTCTTACTCTACTGTTTTAACTGTTGAAAATGAGTACAAAGTGAATTATTATTATTTTCATACATACAAAAGTACAAAAATTCAGTTTTAATGTATCAGTTCTGATGCTTAAGAACCCTTTTTTCTCTCTATGCAGATTACCTATTCAACCAACTTATGTCAGCTTTCTAGGACAGAGTGAGTGTCAGCATAGTCGAAGAGAACACATATGACTTAAGCTGGTCTTGTTGCTTGTGTGTTGTAGTCATCCTGTTCTGTTGCTCTCAACTTCCATGACACTTTTGCACCTACAATAGGTAGCACACTTCAAGCATCGAGTCCCCACCTTGCTAGAATTAAATGATATAGGAAAAAACTATTATTCGAAATCTTCTGAGAACTAATGGAATTATGGGCTTGGTGAAAGAGGAGAGGGATTTAGGAAAAGAGATACTCTGTGGATTGCGGGACTTGCTAATATTGTGGAACGGATTCAAACCACAGAGATCTTTGTAGAGGAAGTTAGAATATGGTGAGATTCTTCTAGTGGATGTGACTATAGCATTGAGACCTGATGTCCTGGTATACAAACCAGCATCATTCTAAAACAGCACGGAGACCTGAAGGGTTTAGTAGGCAGCCCACCGTTTACTGTGGGCTAAATAGAGCCCACAAGCTTTCTGTGATAGACTGATGAGCTGTTGGGAAGAATTAGTAGGTTTTGTAGTCACGAGATATAGATCGAGTTGGCGAAAAAATCGGATGACAAAACACAAGACAAACACAAGCAATTTAACGTAATTCAGATTACCACACAAACATCGCTCCTATGTCCACGGGAAGAAGAAAAAAATCCCAAGAAAGAACTTGAATCGTACAGTGATAGGGGAGTCACAACACAATGACGATCTCCCTCAGAGAAAACTGAAACAAACTTGTCCAAATACAACAAAAACAGGAAGTAACAGAAATTACATAAATACCACTGTTGACCAAGGTTTGACCAGAGTTGATCGGAGTCAACTGTCAACTTCTTCCTCCTCTTTGCGGTTGCGAGCACAATGGCTGGCCAGTGGAGGACTCATCGGAGAAGAAGTTTCGACGTCTTGGTCGGATTTGGGCTAGAGTGGGAGATCTCTTACATCTCTTCTTTCTCCACCTTTCTGTCATTCCCTAAAGCTCCATTTATAGGAGTGAGGGAAGGTGGAGGGCAAGCAACACACGGGCGGCGGGTGGTTGCTGTGAGCAGCACACAGGTGACTGCGGTGATTACGGCAAGCAGCACGCGGGCGATTTGGACTGTGGCGGGCAATTGCAGCGAGTGCAATGCGGGCCCACGGTCAGGCAGCGAGAGCTGTGGGCGACGGTGGTGAGGGCGCTGTTGGCGGTGACATGAGGGTGGTGCGTTGTAGGCGTGTGATGGGTGCCAAACAGTGAGGAGAGCAGTGGCAGCGAGAGGCGCATGAGGGTTTCTCATGTTACTTGGACCGGTTTAATGAGGAACTGGTCTGGTTGATTGAGCCCAAGTTTGACTCTATTTTGAGTCAGTTCCAACATAAGCATCTTTCTTCATAATCATAGATTTGATTGGTCTTTATCAACACACCTAAAGTGTTTGAGACCTTAATTTTCTGCATATCACTTTGGCATATATTGCATTCATCAGGCTGTCAGTCCTTATTCCACCTGAAAATTTTTGAGTATTAGAATGACTAGCATGTATTGAGTAGGTACATGGTGGCTTTCTATATACAACCATTGTCTCTTAAGTAGCAGTGTACCAAACAGACATATTTTCCCCCTTTTGGTGAATTGAAATTATAGACATTTATTATTCTGCTTTTTCTCCTTTCTTTGAAGAGTGCAAAAGCACCAAATGACTGTCATTTGATAATGATCATATGGCAAATGTTATAAAAAATTAAAAGTTAAAAAGTGTCTGGGAACTCTTGTTGGTTAGCATAATGTAAAGATCCTCTCTTTAGAAATCATCTAATATTTTCTTACCTCTCACCTAACGTTACCTTATTTTAGTCATATGGCCAATAATACCCTTGATGAATAATCTTATGCATTGTAGAGCGACCTGTCATAAAAAAGAAAGAAAAAAAAAAAACTAAATGAGATGTGTAGATGGTTCATAGGTGTTTGACTGGGTTACACCAGTTTGTTCAACGTCTACCAGAAGTTTAGTATTGGATTACCGATAGTTTAACAATGCTGTAACCAGGAAGTGCAATGAATCTTAAGTGGCTGAGATTGACTTTTAATTCTAAGAAAATATGGCAAACTCCCTGGCATCACATAATGGAATGGCTGGAAATAACATGCATCATATGCCTGAACTTTCATGGTTAAAAGTTCTACCATTTTAGTCAAGTGGCATGTACGAGAAATGCACATGCATCATACACCTGAGTTTTCATGGTTAAAAATTCTACCATTTTAGTAAGTGGCATGGTTAAAAGTGCTATGAGCACAATGATCATGTAGGATGACGAATGGATCATTCCACTGTTGTCTATTTCATTTTTATCTTCATCTTATGCTTTAGATTGTTTATCATTATTCATATTGTCATAACAACCATATACCATATGGACTATATTTGCTTAGCTTGATTTCATTTATTATTATTTTTTCTTTCGTTTAATTCAATTAAAAAATCTCAAACTGCTGATTACTTGAGAATTTTTTTTTCCTATACCTTTTCCTCTACTTGGATCAATGGGTGCCAGGTCAGAGACTATCTGGTGTCGCTGGGAGCCCGGCATATGTTGCCCCTGAAGTTCTGTCAGGACATTACTCGGAGAAGGCAGACATCTGGAGTGCTGGTGTCCTCCTACATGCTTTGTTGATTGGGTCTCTCCCCTTTCAAGGGGATTCACTGGAAGCAGTTTTTGAGGCAATAAAAAATGTGGAACTTAATTTCCACAGTGCTGCATGGGATTCAGTCTCAGAGCTTGCACGGGATCTAATCAGTCAGATGCTAACTCGTGACACTTGTGCAAGGATGACGGCCGATGAAGTCCTGAGTATGTTAAGAAATTGTGTTCCTTGCTTGCGTTTCTTGCTTGATCATGTATGATCTCATCAGTGGATGGTTTTGTTTCAGGACATCCATGGATTGTATACAACACTGACCACCCTTCCATCGGATCAGCTAATCATTCGAGGATCGTATTTGATTCGGCAAATGTCTCTTTAACATTGGAAAATTTTGGTACTGATTCAGAGTTGCAGGATGATTCCGGCTTTGTGGATGCTCTTGCGGTGGCAATCTCGCGCGTCACTATATCGGAGTCGAAGCGGAGTAGGTTCTGTAACCCTGATCCTCCAATTGAACCAGAGTGCTCCTCTAACATGAAGGCTAACCTCTGCACTGCATTCTAAGTAGCCTGTGTCTCATTCTGCTGAGAAGATTGACTTCTCTCTATTACTTGATTTGGCGATAACACCAAGGGTAGGGTTTGAAAGCCTACTTGTGTATATGGCTAAATATCGTAAGACTTACTACTGCATCAGTGTAGTGTAAGCTGTACAGAAACATGCATATTTCCTGTAAATAAGGTATGATCTCCTCCTCCCCTGCATGTCTCCGAAGATTAACGTTAGATTCACCTTCATCATAGTTTTGACTCGGATAAATCTTCTCTCTTCTGACTTGATGTTATCAGATGGACAAATCTCGAAAGTGAAGTAACAACAACAGCACTACTCATCTGTTATCAGATATGCTTACAACAGTGTCAAGCAAATATTTATGTGTAGGATAAATATTGAATCCTGTTTGTGGTTGACAAATGTTGGATGGAGAGACAGCACAGCACCCCTTCTTAAAGGTAGACATCCGTCATTTTCCACTATCAACATGGAGTTTATGTATATAACAGCCGAGTTTAATCTTAGAGAAGAAGTTCATTATAATTAGTTTACATTTAACATCTCTCATCAATTTTTAAGCCTTTCAAGTTAAATGAGTCCGTTCTAGATATACATTACGCATGGATCATAGGTCCTCTTGCTTCATCTTCTTCTGAGTAATTGAGTGAGACGAAAGGATTGATCTGGAATATCAAATTAGAATGAACTAGGAATTGAATAATTTAAGAAGCTTAGTCTTTTCTATTTCATGATGTTAATTGAAGTATAGGCTAAGCATCGGTGGAAACAACATATATATTTATATATAGCACTCTCCTCTTAAATTTGTAGAGAGAAAAAAAAAAAAAAAACTTGCATGGTTGTGAGCAGCAACGTTCGAGTTCCTGTTTACATGCTAAAACTCAAAACGTTGACCCTATTGGCCAGATGAAAGATGATAGCAACACATTTATTTCGCAAACACCATGAAATAGATCTGATCTTACTACAGATTAGAATGGCCTCTGGAGGATCTGACTCTGATGATAACATCGGACAAATTGAATTCATCGGCTTTCAGCAGACCTTTACCACTTGGGCAAATTGTAGTGTACTTGTTGTTCGGTGAATGTTGGAGCTCTCAAAGATGGTGTTTCCCAACTGGTTCTCGGCGCTGCATCCACTAACTACCTTCTTTAAGCATGGAATGAGAGAAATATCCATCCATCACAAAACACTACAGAGGAGGCAATTTGACTAGGAATGAATGTCCTCACGCAGCTGGGGATGATTATAAGTCATCATTGTTCTTGAGAGATTGGTTGCTTAACTTGATTTCATTTCTATTCTCTCATATGGTGGCTATAAGAGAAAGAATAGAAGAAGAAACATATTTTCCCCATTGGAGTAAGATCCCAATAGGATGTGACAAAATTATAATTAAAAAAGATGTGTTTAATAGAAAGAATTTTCTACTGTTTTCATACCCACATCTTAATTTTAGAAAGAATTTTCGACGGTCTTTCAATCTTTCCAATCCCTTCCATGGTTAATTTGTTTATCCTTCAAGAATCTATAAATATTTTTAGCAATGTTTGTTGGCAAATTTATTTGTAGTCCATTGATTTGCTAAGGAGTGAAGAGGTATTGAACTAAGAACATAGTTGCTTAAAGTCACTCCTTGGGAGAGGAAGTGTTTCTACCAACCATGAATCCTCCTTCTCCTCCTACTGACACATTTCTCTGGTTAAGGAGGAATAGGATCAATTTCTATCAAAATGAGAGTGTGTTTGCCATGTGATTTGCACTCTTGGGCAATAATGATATTATTATTATTATTTTAATATAATAATATCCTAATTGAGTCAGTTAACAATAGCTACATAATTTTATTATTATAAATTTGATATTAATATTTTTTAAACCTAATAGGTAGAATTTAATTATTGAACACCAACCACTAATGATGAGAACAAATTAAGTTAGTTAAATTGAGGAACCAAATGAGAGTGTGTGCCAAGTCCATATTACAAGAAAGTCTAACAATTTATATTTGGAAGAATAGAATAAAATATCATTCAAATATTGTTTATGATGAAGAAGAAGAAAGCACAAGAGAACATTATTATGAGAAACAATGAAGGATTGAACATACCTAAAATCCCAAAATAATTGCCTTAAATATGAACAACAACAACAACAACAGTTTTGTACAGTAAATAGGAATGTTGAGGTGATCCCAATCTAAAACTAATTTAGTCCCTCAATGACCTTTAAGGCATCATAGTTCCTTGCATGTGAAACAAACTGTAGAAGCCACTTCTCTTGATAGTTAGTACACCACACTAAGGCAATGCATTCAATAAGAGTATTCTTAAGTACCATAACCATCTTAATTAAGTGTGCATGTGATGCCCAATCTGTGAAATGATTCTGTGGTCAACAGCCCATGCTAGCTTAGATTCTAGATGCAATTTGACATTGACTGTAGTGGTTTAGATCTTAGGATTCATCTAATCTTGCACACTAAATCATACTAGTTTAAGACTAGAAATTGAAACTTCAAAGAGAACCACAAAAGTTCAATAAGAAATAGTAGAATCACCAGCTCATGAATGTTTTATATGTTCTCTTCCCAAGCCTCTACCAACTTGGCTCCTCCTTTGTATCATGGAAAAGGAAGCAAAGTCCAGAGTCTGGGCTGACAAAGCAGTCAAACAATAGGATGGCAGACACAAAATGTACAAGCAGAAGTGATCATGTAAACAATGTCAATAATTGATACCTTTTTCAAACAAGCTACTTCTCTTTCTTTTTTTCAATGTTGTATTCTTCCTTTTTCTTTTGGTTTTGTGGTCATTTTTTGACCAATAAAAATAAGAACAAGAATGAGAAACATAATGTCGCATCCAGTTGCCTCGGTCATGATCACAACACACTTCTCAGTGATTCAGTCCTCATCTCCTTGGATTTCCTCCCTACTTCATGCCAATTCATTTGCAAGATATGAGCAACTGATGCCCAGTTTTAATTGATCCTCCTTTTCTGAATCAGTCATTCGTTTTTTTTTTCACCAGAATTTTGATCACAAAAGATTTCTACTAACTAAACCAAACTACTTGTTTCAATGTGCCAAACTGCTTTTATGAAATTGATGATCTGTTTATTTTCCTCCTCTTACTAGCCGGAGAATCATAATCACATGTTGCATGAGACCCAGAAACTGTACCATCAATCTTGTAGCTCAGGCAAGCAGCATCCAACACCCCAACTGGGCTTTGAGGTAGAGAGGAAACTGATGGACTTGCAATTTCAAGTGGCTCTTTTCTCGCTGCCATTAAATCTTGGATCATCTCATAACACCTCAAGACTCCGTCCTGTTGAAACCAACAACCAAACAAGAACTTTAAGCATGAAAAGAAAATGTATGCCAAAGGAATACATGTTTTGTTATTACAAATGAGAGTGATCTGGAGTCATATGCACCTTCACGACATGGCTACAGCATGATAAAGCCTTCTCGAGTTCGATAGTTTGTGTTTCCTTCAAAACAGACAGAGCAATAGCTGCAGCAATTTCAGAAGGTCTGAATGCTAAAGAACCAGTCCCTGCATTACATTGTCTCACTCTTAATCACACGATTCAATCCACTCAATTCGGAGCAATAACAAAGCCAGAAAATGAATTTTTAACTTATTTGAACAGCAAGATGGTCTACCTTGCGTTGTGATTAAAATGACTTCCACGGAACGAGACACCAATAAGTTGCTTGGGGCATTACCACCATTGAACTTATGAAGGAAGAAATCTATGAAAGAGAATGGAGTCACTGCTTGCATTCTCCATTTGAGGGTGGCAAGAACCAGCAGCTCCATTCTCTGGATAGTCCTGGCTTCGAATACATATTTTGCATCACCGACCTATCGAAAGCAATTGATGGAATTGTTGTGACAAATACATATCCAAATAACAGACCATCAAATTCTATTATGAATTCTTGCTCACTTGTAAATCCAGAGATAGAGGAACTTCAGTTTCCTCCATCTTGGCAGCCAAAGATAAGCAGGCCACCGATAACAGTTGTGTCATCCAAGCTTTGCCTTGCTACAAACATAATTAGAACATGGAAACAAGAAATAAGATCATGATTATCCAACAAAAGAAGATTGAGTTTGCAGTTAGAACTATAAACCAGAATGCACAAGATGTATATTTAAAGATCAGATTCCAGACAATGTGAGAATTCTTACAGGAAGCTCATAGGCAGAGAGGAACTGATCCAAGTAATTTACAGCTAAGCATGCACTCACTGGTCCAAAATTGTAATGGGCATGAACCTGATCATTGTAACATAAGAGTCATTAGTCACAAAGGAGCTGTGGACCATATTCTGCGGCAAGATCTGCTAAATGTTTGCAATATAAAGCAGCATAATATCCATCAACATAACCAAGTGACAAGTAGATGGGAAATCAAAAACCGATCTCCAATTGGAACAATTGAATATTTTTTTTTTGCAAAAGAGAACAAAAACATAAAATCAGGTACAGATAAACAAGGATCAGATTAACCAAACCACATTCCAGGGATTGCTAATGGCAACAATATATATATATATATATATATATATATATATATATATATATATATATATATATATTGTACCAGCAATGTAAAAATAAAACCATCTACATTAATGAATTACTGCAAAAATTCTATTTCATTGGAACATATACTTTTAAGTTTGAAGTATTAAATGAAGCAGAAAAGGTTAACAAAATGACTCACATTACAGAGGAAAAGAAAGGAAAAGAATAATGGCATGAAAGGAAATTACAGAACTTTTTTATCCATTAGCAAAATGGAAAAAAAGGGAAATAGAAAAGGTGAAATGGATCATCGAAAGAAAGACTCAGCTGATTGATCGGCTCATGAACCCTAACCCTATCAACACAAAACCATGAAAGTTAGAACCAAAACAAGAACACCATTCAGCAAAACCAGTAAAGTCGACAAAAAATCCTGAGGAAAAATGGAAAGAATTAAAGAAAATTAAGGGGGAAAAGGAGAAAAAACAGCGGTCACCTTCCAAATCCAATCAATGGCGTCTCTCCTAATGGACAAATATAATGCCCCAGAGCGCAGCCTCTCGGCATAGTCGTCCCTCGGCATATGCTCGGTTTCTTTCTCAACTAACGAACCTATGCACTCATCCGACAGAAGAGGAAAATCCACGAGGAGATCCCCATAAAAATCCAAACTTTTTGCTTCAGGAACCCGGTCAAACCCATGCCCACCCTCCTCATCACCACCAAAGCTCATGATGCTACTGTTGTCCTCAGCGCAGAGGAGGATAGACGAAGCGGAGTCATAACTTGGATCCATCGGTTGCAACAGAGACTTAAACTGAAAGAAAGGATAGATGATATCTTTGAAAAAGAGCCTTTGCTCCTCTTCCTCCCCTCGTCTCGTCAAAGATGGCTCTTTTATAAGTAAAAAATGAGTACAGAATAGAGATACAGGCTATTTCTACTGGAAATAGAGATCTTGTTCGTCTTCCTCCCCTCTTCTCCTTCAAAGGTAGTTTTTTTTTCTGTGAAATTCAGAATATAGACACGGATTCAAAGATGGGATCTTTCCGGTGGAAACAGAGCCCTTGTTCCTCTTCCTCCGTTGCTTCTCCTTCGAATGTGATTCTTTTCCAAGGAGTTCAGGATAGAGACAGATTCAAACAGAGACAAGATGAGATATTTATAATGGATATAGAGCCCTTGATCCTCTTCTCCCTCTCTTCTTCTTCAAAGGTGGCTCTTTTTCATGGAGTTCAGAATAGAGACACAGATTCAAAAAGAGAAAAGATGGGATTTTTCTAGTGGGAATGGAGCCCTTGTTCCTCTTCCTCCCCTCTTGTCCTCCAAAGGTGGCTCCTTTTCAGGGAGGAAACGAGTTCAGTGATATCAGTCTTCAAAGGAAGAGGAGGGGGCAACTGTTGCATAGACACACAGGAAAGGAGGTGTTATGTAGGGTATTTGGTGGAGGAGAGGGCATGAGTCTCTTTGGTGGATGGGAGGCAAAATGGCAGGGAGAGCAATAAACAACTTGGAAAGAGGAATACACAAAAGGGGTTCATGGGAGGGTGTAAAGAGGGATCATGATGATTGTTAAAGAATAACTAAGTTATAATTAGAAATATGCATGATGTTGTTGTACAATATATGATTTAGGAGAAATAGTTTTTGGCTTTTTCATATCCATACTAAAGAATTAAATTAAAATTAAACTTGTGGTGAAATTACAATGACACCCATCTTCACAGTGGTATTATTATTAACCATTGTAAAACAACTAACCATGTAAATTTATGAAAGCCTATCTTTATTTGATTAATTAGTTAATCTTATATTATATGGCCTTTGCATCTTTTGCATCTAAAGCTACATTTATGATGACCTTAAAATTATAGCATTGTGACTTGGTAGAGGGACATGTGAGGACTATGATTAAATGACCTTAAAATTAATTTCATGTTCATGTATATTCCTTTATGCCCAGAGATATACTAGATTATAAGAATATAAATTTGATATTCTTATAAATACAAATGAATTTTATAAAAAGAGAGGAGAGTGAGAGTGAAAGAAAATACCTAAAAGATGAGGGGGTATTTGGTTGACCAATAAGGGAATGGTCTTTGGTCTTCCACCCTTTCTTGGGATGCATGCACACACACACTCTCTCTCTCTCTCTCTTCCCCCAATTCTATGGTTATCCCCAAGTGGTCCTTATTATTACAATTTTGACCACTTTTTCCATGGTCAATGCTCATCTTTTAATTATTACAAAGAAAAACAACTTTTGATGTTTGTTTGAAATAAGTATTTCCTTCACTGGAAATATTGGAATATTATATTAAATTGTATGAAAAATTAATTTGGAAATTCCAAATAAAATTGGGAGATTTGTTAAAAAAAAATTAGGATATGATATATATGATTTTTTACCATTTTAAGAAGGAAATAACAACTAGAGTAGGGTGATGTTTCTCTTCCTTTTTTTTTATCTCTCTATAAATAATTTGGGTATGCCATCTTCCAAGCAAATTTGCAATTGAAAATTCATGATAGGTGCAATTTAGTTAATTTAATTTATTGGACTCATCCATAAATGATAATAATACATAAGATAACTTGGAACTACTGAGAGTAAATAGGCTTCCAAATGGTCATAAAATATACAATTATTTATATGTACATCATTATTAATAGAAAATAAAACATTTTTACAAAAAATTCAACAATATCCTTTAGTAAAATACTAGTTTGATAATAATATACCCAACTCATTTACCTTAAATCAAAGATTAAAATCTTCATCCGATAATTCTTTTTCATTTGCCCCAAGTTAAGAGTCCAAAACATCATCCCATAAAGTTTATGAGATCACATCTCATATTTACTATTTATCCTTTAGAAAAATATGTTATACTCTAAAAGATCAAAACAATTTGAAGTCATCGATCAAGTAACTCAAATTATTAATTGAGGGTGACTTTTAATTATGACAACATCCCAATTTATTGTTTATGAACTAATATAAATTGAGTAATATATATATATATATATATATATATATATATA